GGCAGAATTAATCATTCTACCGATACACGTGAAAACACCTTTGAAGAAAATAATCGTATTACTTTTTCTTATTTACTTATGCCATAGTACCTTGAAAAAATACATGCTCGATTATTCTGTAATACATTCCGATAGATCTCTGTGGATAAAACAGGTTTCTGCTAATTAAAAAAATTCTGAAAGTAACGAATTTGACGAATTCACTGGTTGAAACAATTTACAAAATTACAACTTCACTTTTCCTTCGATGATAAAATTCTAGGGACATTTGAAATTCACCAGAACAAGTAGAGACACGCGAGCCAAGTTCGAATTTAAATTGTTTCCTCGAAGATGTACAAGGGAACGTTTAACGAACATCTGCGCGCTACGAAAACAAGACATTGTTCCTTCGATAATGAGTTGTTCGCTTCTTTAGAAGTAGAAGCAGCGCGTGGTACACCTTTTGCAAGGATAAAAATAACAACGAAGACTGTACTTCTTTTATTTCTGCGCCGGATGCCGCGAACAGAAACAACGAAGTCACGTTCAGCCAAGCGGAAAATTGTTTTTTATTGTCGCGAAGTGTTAACGATGTAGAAAATTACAGCCTCTTTTCTCGACACCCTGTATACGTGTTTCTGAACGAATTACACGCAGCTGGGACTAAGAATACAATGTTCGAACTGAGCATTGAGAAAACGATAAAAATTACGACTTGGGTGACGTGTTCATTTTAATTTCAGGTGCAGACGTTTGCATGACAGAGGAATGTGTCAGAACAGGTAATTATAATTTCAATTTAATTCTGCCTTTATCATGGAAATCTTTGAGAAAGTTAAATTATTTCCTGTTTGGCAGCAGTAGAATTTTTATAAGCATGAAATATGAAAGAATTGTAGGTTAAAGTTTCGATAATAATTTATGGAAATTTTCAAAGAATTCTGCAAATTTATTTCAATCACGAATCATTCATAATTTCATCAATTACACAAGGTGTTGGTGAAGTAGTGGTATGACTTGAAGAGAGGTGAGAAAATGAGGAGGAAATGTGAAATAACATTTTTTCCTGTGACGCTTCATTTTCGAGTTAATTGACGTTGGAAATCCTACGGGCGCATCCACAAGAATGCAATTACATTATTAATCGTAAAGAGAAACATTTTTTTTTTTTTTTTGAGTAAAGAAAACTCTATTGGTTTACTAATAATGACACAAACACTTTGCGTACTACATAAATTCTTGACATTGATTTACATGAAAACGAAGCTTTGCACAAAAGAATGTTATTTTGTCGTCACTTGTGGTAAGAAACAATTTCTAAGTAGATAACTCTTTTGATTACACATGCAGTTTGCATAATCCATAAATCCTCTGTATCAATTTACATGAAAACGAAGCATTACACAAAAAGATATTACTTTACACCTTCGACTAATTTTTTCTTCTTCTTTTTTTAAAAAGAAGAAAGAGGAATTCAAAATTCCTCCCAATTAAAGTTCCATTCACGATAACATCGTACAACACCATAATCTATCCAGAAATGGTGAGAATAATCCGCGAAATGTGAAACCGATCGTGAATGGGAGTGAGCGAAAAATCGGGCAATATCCGAGACGAGTCAAATGGAATCAGATCAGCGAGAGCTGATTGGTGGTCGGCCGGAATTGCGTTGTCCAGCGGCAAACGCGTGTCGCTCACACACGCTCGTAAATCCGATTAACCATCCTCCACGGAATTGGATGTTGACCGAGGCTGGCTGCGATTTAATTTTCATTCCTCGCTGAAATTCGCCGTTCGACCTGCTGCCGATCCGGCGCCGTGCGGTTTAATTGCGCTGGAAACTCGACCAATCCTCGAAACACGCGGCCAAATCCCGATTATTTTTTTCCCGTGTCCACTTAGCACAATCCTGAAGAATTTTCGATTGTTCGTCGTTCGAATGAGGGCTTTCACGCGAAATCGTTCGATTATATCCCTTTAGGGCGGATCCGGATGCGTGGAAAACTATTGTTTTAAGGATTTAACGGGAGCTGGAGCTTAAGGCTGTTTCTATGACATTATTGAAAAATTTAGAAGCAATCCAATAATTGTTTTCACACGAAATTGTTCGATTCGTTACTTTTAAAGCAGATTGTAATGCTTGTCAATATTTGTTATTAATTGTTTTTTTTAGAACTTAAGGCAGTTTCTATGGCGTTGCTACCGAATTGTGCAGTGGAAAAAAGTAATTGAAAATTTAATACAATTAGAAGTTGCAGTAGTCCAACGGGAGTAAGTTACTTTCAAGTGTTCCATGAAAGTTAGACCTTAGGGCGGTTTCCACCGCACAGAACAAATTAATATGCGATTACCTAGAATTCTGAATATTTTGCTAGTCACATACCTAGGCTTCGTAGCTGGTCTACGAGAATTAGATTCTCCTGAAACAATTAGTAAACGTTAAACCTTAAGGCAGTTTCTACAACGGCGGAAAAAGAATGTTTTTAAATTACCCGGAATTTTTAACGCTTCGAAAGAAGAATGCAGCCAAAGTATAAAATATTCTACGAAGCGGCAGCCACTGTAATATTCGCTCGAAAAATTCACCTTCCCTGTGGTCGGCGAAAATTTCGAAAAAATATGAAAAAACACACTGGCTAGCAGGAGTTCCACGAGAGGTGTAATTAAATTTTTTTTAATATTTCACAATTACCGTGTCTCTTTGCCGCGAGTCGAAAATGAAGTGGCCCCTGTGAACCAAGCCGGGTGAAGAAAGGGAGAAGAGGGAAAAAAGTCTCTCTCGACCTGAATTTAAAATTGCTGAAAAATAACAGCCACTCCGCCAAACACGAGTGCGTAATGAGTGTTTTATTCGTGTTTGTCGTAGAACGAAATTCGAGATACTTCTTCCGACGTGCTGCCAATTATTCTCGCGAGGGACGAAAATATTTTCGTGCACGAATTTTAAAACAACCTTTTTCTCGTCTTTCTCGTTTCGAGAAACAAAATGGAGGACGTTTTAAGGAGAAATTGTGAAATCGCGTAACAGGGTATCGAATTACCTCAGGGCGGCGTTATTGCCCGTTAACGATAATTTATCGAAGGTGCAATTAATCCTGAGATCACGGCGAGTCTCGTTAAGGCATCCTCACTCGATTAGGCAGCGAAGGTATTAACCTCGCTGTAAAATTACCCGGTGCAATTAAACCACGTTGCGCGGCAGGTATATGGGTGGAAAAAGCGATTCGAATCATCCTTTTAAATTATCGAACGATCTTTCCTCGTTAGCATTAACGACCCATTAAAAGAGAACGTAAAACTGGCTAAATTGATTTGCGTTAAACCTGTA